TGAACCCTTTGTGTCTCTCTGGCAAGATGTTCTGCTCCTGAATCAGCTGGGTGGGTCTTGCCTCTAGCCTCTTTGCAGGGAGTTCTGCTGAAGGGTTCCCTGCTGGGCCTGCGCTCTGGGTCTATTCAGGATCCCGCGGCCTCGGTCGTCTCACATATTCTTTATATAATGAGACATTATCCTTATTTTTTTCCTGTTGACTTTTTCATTTGTATAAGCCATATTTTACTTTTTGATGTCTTGACACTTTTGTTGAAAACTAGATTTTTTTCTTTTTATTTTTATGTATTTGGTACAGGGTCTCACTATGTAGCTCAGACTCATGTGATCCTCCTGTTTTCAGCCTCCCCAGCACTGGGATTACAGGTATGCATCACCATGCCCTGTCTCAGTGGCCACCTCAGCATGTCTGGGGGCATGGCTGGCACTGCATATCGTGCCAGGAATCGAACCATGGTCCCTGTGCTTGCCTAAGCAGGCACTTAGTCTGCTGCACTATCTTGCCAGCTTGAAAACTGGAAATTTTATATACCATGGCAATTCTGGAAAGCAGATACCACATCCCCAAGGGTTTGTTTTCTGTTGGTTTTTGTTGGTAATGGTATTTGTAAAGTCTTTTTAGTGACTTTCTTGGACTAATTCTTTAATGTCTGTATTATTTATATATAGCCACTAAAGTCTGCATTCAGTTAGGTCAATAATAAGCTAATAACTTGACAGAGATTTTAAATGTCTTAAAACTTTGCTGAATTTGCCACATTTTGCTAAGAGATGCTCTGTGTATGTCAGGGCTCATCTTCACTACAATAGCAATGTACTACTCTACCTTAGCCTTTATTTCTAGCTTACATAGAGCCTCATTCTTAGCCAGAGGTGAGAGGTTATGGCTTGTCAGAACTTGGTTAGGAAAATATATAGCCTTGAACATGGGTATGCCTTTCTGAATTTCCAGGAATATTTCAGAACTTTGCAAATCCCCCATATGTATAGCTCATTTTTAAGATTTTTCTTTAGGGCCAGTGAGATAGCTCAGCAGACTAAAGTGTCTGCTTAGGCAAGTATAGGTACTGCAGTTGGATCCCTGGCACCACATGCTGCTCCAGCCCCTCCAAAGGGCAGGCTGAGCCAGCCATAGAGTCCAGACATAGTGGCACATGCCTGTAATCCCATCACTGGGGAGGCTGAAAACAGGAGGATCACTATAAGTCTGAGCTGCATAATGAGACGTGGTAACAAACAAATATATATTTTTTAAAAAAGATTTTTCTTTATATTTTTTTGGCCATTCTCTTGTTTGGTCCTATTAAAATGGCTCCATTCAATTAGGATATTAAAGTTTGTATTTGTTTTTGTTTTGTTTTGTTTTTTGTCTTTTTGAGATAGAGTTTCACTCTACAGTTTGAGCTGGTCTTAAACTCACTTTGTAGCTCAGGCTGGCCTTGAACTCACAGAGATTTTCCTGCTTCATCATCCTGAGTGCTGGAATTATAGGTATATGTCACTATACCTGGCCAAGATTGTGTGCCTGACTTTTTTTCAACAGAAAAAAAAAAAAATCAAGGGTAGAGGGTTTTTCACTGAATAAAATGCAAGTCAGCTTAAATAAAGACAAACTCTTCTCAAGAAAGTATCAAAACAGGTACATTAGTAGTTCTCTGGCTAGTAGACCTATGTTAGAAGGTCCAAAATTATTCTGTTCCTTCTAGTGACTACTATGGTACTCATGGTTACCATGGTTCTATAGCTGTCTTGGCTACTAGAGAGAGACAGAGAAAGAGATATGGAAAGACAGAGGAGGGGGAAGAGGAGGGAAAGTAGGGGGAGAGAGGACAAGAGAA